ATTTTGCATTAAAATAGCAGGACTTTAACCAACCATAAAAATGAAAAGTTCTTATATGTATGTAGCATGCCTTGCCTTCTTTTGCCCAGAGTTAATCACATTAGCAGTAGACTGAATGTAGTGGTTTTCAGATTGTTTTCCGTAGGCCATTAAGGCTGGATGGTCCTCAGACTGTGAGGGAAATAAATTATTGCAGTAGATTTCCTTAGTTGCCTTTGGAACAGGATTAAAAAACCCCCACCCAAACAAGTAAATATAGGAGCTGGTAAAAATTACTATGTTCCTTCTTTTCAAGAAAGTTAATTGTAATTTCAGTTTATTGCAACTGTTGCTTTTTGTGAATGCAAAATGGATCAACGTTAGAATGATGAGCTTTAAAACAAGATTTAGTTTATTATTCTGAGCAAATAATTTTCTCCCTGTTTTCCTTTTAATATGCCTATGCTCCCAGATTGCAGGTGTCCCTGGAGAGGTGCCCGTGCAGCACATTGAGCAAACACTTCTGGTGTCGTTAGGAGTGTTGTTTTCATTGCAGTTCTCTCTGGAGTTTTTAGTCGTATTTATGTCTCACTCGAGCTTGTTACTGTGGCTTGGATTTTCCAAATTCTTTTCAGAATATTCTCTCTAGTCTCTACCTCATACTGCTTCTTAACTTAATAGTTTTAAGCAGATTACTAAAATATAGAACAAGCTAGAACGTGTTTGGACAGCTGCGAAAATCTATTACAGATACATAACATTTTGCAGCTAAAAGAATGATTGGTCTGCTATTACCTTCTAATAAAAAGGCTAATGTTTCCCTATGATCTATATTTTGGAGCAAAGGAAGAATTAAAAATTTCTAGGCTCAGAAAAATGGCTGTATTCAAAGATCACATGATAAAAGGTTCTACACTACCTGCACCACAGTCTCATACTCTTATCAGAGTATGGTATCTTAGGTCACTTCCCTTGAAAAACTCTAGATGGTAGGGCATTAAGGTGCACCAACATAAATGCACACCTATAGCGAGGAACAGTCAAATATATGAGCAGTAATCAATGAGCTCTCCAGGTGGAAGAATACCAACAAATTGAGTAGAACAAACACATTGTGCTGTACAGATTGTACTTTTATAATCGTATGTAAATACATGTTTCTTAATAATTCTTATGGCTTCCTGTCTGGTAACCGAATAAAGGGAGTCCAAGGAAAGATTGAGGAACTGTAGTCAGAGAGGACAGTCCTGATGTTGTTCTTGATAGGAGAACTCATCAGCAGCAAAAAGTAGGATACAAACTTTAATGTTAGTACTGGATGGAGAATAACAGTCCTGGGCAAAGACAGCAGAAATCACATAATTGATATATAAATTAAACAATAAAGGGGCCGACATTCACCCCTGACGCACTCCCTGTGGTAGGGATATTATGCCGGAAAGTCGTTTGTCTAACCCACAGCGGACTTGTGCAGTGGGATAAGAATACAGAATCTGAATCAAAGCTAACAGTCTTTTGTCAGCGGAGGCTAGTTTTAACTTATGCCACAATCAGGCAATGGGGTATGGTATCAAAAACGGCCTTCAAATCCATGCAGGCAACAGCAAGGATCTCCTGATTATTGTTTGTGTATTTGTTGGTTAAGAACTGTAATGTCAGAAGATGGTCATCTGAACCAGCCCCTCACCTAAATTCGGGTTCTTCCCTTCTCAGGATTTTATTAGTCTCCAGTCAGTCCGCAAGTCAGTAATAATGGGACAGAGCATAAAGCTTCCCAGCCACTGATAAAAGGCTGATTGGCTGTAGTGGGATGGGTCCGCTTTGTCTCCCTTTTTATAAGCTGGTGTGATAGTGTTTCTCCAAGCGAGTGGCATAACTCCTGTCGCATCTATCTGAGTAAATATAGTTGCCAGTATATCCTTCCACCGTGAGACATTGACTTTGAAGAGTTCTAGGGGAATTAATCTGCTCTGGGGGCCTTCCCATTCTTCATTTGAGAAATCAGAAAACTGATTTCAGCTGGTCAGCTAGGGAGCCAGAATATTCCATGCAGAAATCTTTTTTTTTCCTGTTGGCGCCATTTTTAAAACACAAGGTGATTCTATTTATTAACACCACTTGTAGGAAACGGCTGTTGAAACATTTGGATTTTACAAGACAATGCAGAAGGATAGGTTCATTAAAATGGGAAATACTCCATTCTAAATAGCTGAGATTTTATCATTTTCATATTAAAGTAAGGAGGTTTAAATGTAGTTCATGGTTTATGGTTATTTTTGTATTCCGTGTTTTATGACAAACAAGTTTGAGGGAAGGGACCCTCCATCTTTCTTTCACTCGTGTCCTGTGCCGTGTTTTATGACAAACAAGTTTGAGGGAGGGGGCCTCCGTCTTTCTTTCACTCGTGGTTGCTTTTCTTCTGCCTTGTAATGGTTTTGTTAGCATCTGGCTACTAATACTTGAAGTACATGCTTTCATTTTAAGTCATTCGTAGGGATGATCCATTCCAAAGACAAGTTTTCATGTATTGCGCTAACTGAGCAACAGCATCGGAGCAACCTCACGACTGCGAAATCCTTACTGCTGGTTCTTAGCAGTTGACTGCTAACACCTTGTTTATTTAATATTACAACAATGAAATAAAGCAGAATTAAAGAATCCGTATGACTGAATGCTGGGGAACTGACAGACTGTCATTGGGAGCTGAGGCATGCAATCCCCCCCCCCTCCAATTCAGTTGGTCTGTGAAACTGGATTTCTTTAGAGTATTTTTTTCCAGAATGTCAGGGCAAGAAAGGTATGTTGCTGCCCTATGTATGTTGCTGGTGAGCTAATAAAGATTTAGGAGCACTGCACGTCAATAGCTTGTATGAGTTTGTCGATGTCCATGTTCTTGCTAGGGGGCTGAAAGAATTTGAAAAGTTACATTTCCCCCCCACTCACTGGCTCTTGGGTTTGAAACCTCTAGAAGAGTAACAGCATTAACTGTCTGGACTGTAGAGTTACTTAATAACGTCATATAACGCTTGCTTAATGATGCTAGGATTGGAATACAGTTTATGCTGCACTTGAGGAGATACACAATACGTGTGTCTTAACATTTGGCATGGATATAACCCTCCTAAATAAATACTGTTGGCAGCAATGCAGAAATGCTGTATGGGAAAG